CAAATCCCAACAGAGGTGGGTCAGGACCCGAACTAGACTATCCCAGTTGGGTACCCCAGGTGACGGGTCCTATTTACGGTCACTCAACCTTTGTTGGTAATGTACTTGTTCTGAAGCGTGTCTTGGATTCTGCTTCTCGACTCCCGGGAGGTCACTAGACTAGACCCGGTGTATACCGAAGTCCAGTTCGACTATATGTTGACCGGCTGAAGTAAAGGAAGTTCCCCCCTTAAGACCATTCTTTTTATAGTCTTTGACTCCCAGGGCCTTCCAGGGTATACCAAACAGAAAGCCTTCCGTCGCGCGGAGGCGACGTGGGCGACGTTCACGCCCTACGCCCTTGGACTGCTGAGTTCTCCATCAAGGGTCTCATGAAGTGGCAGAACCTCTACACCGACGAGACAATGCGGGTCCTCCGTCCGGGGATCCCGGACCGTTGGAGTCAAGAACCACCGCGCTTGTTCGGAAGGTTTATGATTTTTTTTCAAAATGTTTTTTGTGGTTTTAGTCAGTTGGTTGGTTGGTTAGGCTAGGTTAGGTTAGGTTAGGTTAGGTTAGTTGGTTTGGATTGGTTAGTTGGTTGGTGAGTTGTGTAAGGGGTTCGTTGGACTTAGAACTTGTGACAGTGAATAAGGGGTTTGCTCATCCGAGAGCGTGTGATAGGATTGGGTGGAGTTTGGCGTGTGGCGAGTGTTGTTCCAATGACATTGGCTGAAAGAAGAGTCAAACTTTCGGCCGAAAGGCAACATAAGTATTACAAAAGTGGCCATCCGGCTGAATCATGCTATTACAATAATGTTGAAATACAGAGTCAAAATTGAAGTTCGGTAATGAACCTCCAACTTTCAGCAATATCCAACTTGTGTAGTTTTTCTGAAAGGCCGATTGAATTGAGGGGCTACGCGCGTGATATATAAAACAAGACAAAGAACACCATGAAGGCTCCGGGGGAGTTGACGTGAATATGAAACAACCAATCCTTGGAATCCTTGGAATCGGTGTCACAGGTGTCCAGAAAAGATCTGAAACAGCCAGATCCGTCTTTCGGGTCCCTTTCGGTGGTGAAGTATGCCAACACATGTCCGGCAGATCAGATCTAGAGTCCCGATCTATAACGCACGGGTCTTTCACACACCTTAGATATCCTTAGTGTGCTTGTGTATGCTTGTGTAAGGATGTGTTACCTGTTGGTCCTTGGCAGGTGCGTATCTCCGTCCCGAGAACCAGCGGCACAGCCGCCTCCTCCGACGCAGTCGTTCGTCCGGAGTGCGTCTCCAGGTGTGAGCAAGAAAGCCTCCAAGGTCCGGCCCACCGGTGCACGGCGAGTCGGCGAGTCTACTCGCTCACTTTCGTCGCAAAAAAACCCCCAACAAGGCGGGTGTTCTTGGTCTCTTAGAAGGAACACGACGTACTTAGGGGTGGGCTTTTCAGAAATCTAAGATGTCTAAGGCGCTTGAGCGTGACTTTGGGGTCGACCCAGTCTAGTTTTCATGAACAAAAATCACATTGTGGTGACCAGATCATTTGGCAGGGCTTCACAGGGAACGGGAAATCCTTCACTGATCAGATGTGATTTTCTTTTGTCACTGACATAGAAGAGGATGGAGGTTTGTGATGGTTTGTGGAGGTATTTTCGTTGGATAACGCCAAAAAGGTTTCTCGCTTCAATTGTTGCAGGGGCCGGCGTTGAATTGGCAGCATTCAGCTGGCACATGTGCTGCTTAAGAGTCACCACTCGCTCGCCAACTTGATTGAGTCCAGGAAAACGAGAAACATACACTGCTAGGCTGCGTCGACTGCTAGACGTGGACAATCACCAACCCACTGGGCTGCCCACTCGGTTCTCCAGCTTCGACACCCAAGCTGTCCAATTCCTTTAGTGCAAGTGACCATCCCTTCCCATGTCGCCCAGAACAGGGAGAACCCACGAGAACTGGTGGGAGAACCCGCTTGATTTGCCTCCTCCGATGGGACGACATTCGTGGAGGTTCTCCACGGGCGGAGGGCCTCGGAGGGTGTGGGTTCACCGTCTAGGTCGAAGGTTTGGTGATCTTGGAGAAGGTGAAGAAATGAGGAAAGCAGTGCCGCAGCCTGTAGCCACAGGGCCGCAGCCCAGTGGGGAAAACGCTGCCCCCTAGACACGCGGCGCGGCCCAGTCAGTGCTTCGCTGCCCTAAGGTAGATGATTTTCATGTGGACTTGCCTGAAACTATGTCCACATGCAAGGCCCAGATAGGCCCAGCAGGTAATATTCATTCTTCCATGTTATAGCTACAGGGGGTTGCCCTACGTCCTAGCTTTGTTATGCTGCAAAGCACGCTGGAAAAACACAGGATTGGTGGTCCATATGTACAGAACATATAGAATCAATATACTGTAGACTGTAGACATATTTATTTTTAGAGTTTCGGAGAGTGAAGCAAGCAAATGCATGCGCACCATGCTTTCCCTGTACTCCTTACACTCCAATCTTTTGTTTGTTGAATAAGAGGCCTGCCGGCCTGCCTACTATTCCACCAGCCAGTCAATGCAGCAATTCAATAGCCTAACCGCTGTGAAAGGTTATAATGAGGTTACGGTCAAAGTGCATGACACAAGCCCCAAGAGTCTCCAGACTTCTGTCACACAGATTCTCAACAAATTGTAGTGTTTGAACTGGTTTTGTCACATCACTCTCGGCTCTCAAAGCACTTGAATGTTGATTAGCGATTTGAATAACACAAAGGTCTGACAGGATGGCTGCCAGTCTAGCTGATGACAAGACTCTCGAATGGCCGCCGTGCCGATTTTCGGCTTTTTGAATGGCGCGTGTGGCTCGTCACCAATCAGGTTAGCCGCCGTGATGAGAAGGATGAAGCGTGTTTTCTTTGCACTGAGCAAATGGAGCAACCCACCGGATGCATCCTCCAAGATCAACCAAGGTTTGTTTCATGTTATTTCCAAAGAATTATTCCCAAAGGTTTGTTCTAAGGGGCCATAGTCCAAAGTAACCATAGTAATTAATAGTTCTATGCTTGCTTTCGCGTAGGAGTAGTTATGGCGAATTCGGCAGAATCCCTGCAATCAACCTGACAAAATTAGAAGCAACTAGTTGCCTGCTGATAGCACTGCAATGTGTTGCAAGGAGCACTCATTGTTGCACTTAGATGAGGAATGACTTCCTGTGCGTCTCGGGTCTCTCTCTCTCTCTCTCTGTAGATGTACACTTAATTTCGACCAGCGGTGCCGCTTTTAATTAATCACTTGGTTTGCTTGAGGCACATGTGTGCCAAATGCCATTGTTGTTTCTGCCCTTTCTGCCCTTTCTGTCCGTGTTTTCTGGCTGAGCGGGATGGATTCTTGCTGATCACATCGTGAACAAAACAAATCCACCGTCTGACGTAAGTTGAATCCATGATCCTCCGTGCAATTGTAAGCGACACGTTGCAGGCTGCTTGTGCTTTTGTTTTTTTTTTTTTCCGTCAAAGTTTCTTTGGTGCGAAAGAAAAGCCAGAGGGAGGTCATTTTTTTGAGCAAGAAGAATGTTTGTGTTTCTTTTGATCTATATATTGTGCCATAGGATACAGATGATACAGCACGAAACAGAAGAAATCACACATTGAATGGTAGCAACTTCATCCTTCTCCCACAAAGTATTTCTTTGCATATTGGACCCACAGATGGCAGTAAAAGGCCCTGCGCTGTGCACCATGCAATGTGAGGTCCACGCTTGTTGGAGTTCGGGATCCTCTCCTCAAGAACAAGTTCGATGAGTTTAGAATCAATCATTGTTTTTGAACTTGATTTTAGACATAAACTTATATAATGTTTAGGTGAGTTCAGTTCTGTTCAGTGTTTTGTATGTTGAGCCCATGTATTTTCCAGGATCGATTCGGCCAACCAGCAAAGGCGTTCTTCCGTTGTGACAGCCCTGACAGCCCAGAATCGAAGGTGAAAGGAATGGGCACCAACCAAAGGTCGAACAATTGCCTCAAATCATTCTATGTTTCGGAGATTTATTCCTCCCACCCTCCCAGCTGGTGCCGGATGTTTTGCACGACCAACAGTGGTGGGCAACCTGCCTGCACTGTAGGCATTGAGAAGAGCACAAGAGCAGAATCATCAACATTCTTGCAAAGTCAGGGTGCTAGTCAAAATACTATTTTTTGCATTTTATATAGACTGGACCCTGGGGAACTGTTGACATTGCGTGGCAAGTGTGCTGACATTGTTGTCCTTGCGGTGTCATGCGGGGATTTGGCGGCTCATGAACTGCAGGACCCCATGATGGCATGAACAACGTCACGCCGCCCTGCCCATATTGTCGCTTGCAGTGGTCATCCAACACCTGCAGCAAATTCTGAGAGTAGAAAAAGGTCTACATGCTATGCCGCTACTGCATCCAAAAAACGGGTCAGCACCCAGCTCCCAGCAGCCTCAAGGTCACTGTTTGAAGTTTTAGAGCTTCACACAATCGCCACGCGTCGCAGTCTTGGCTCCAGAAACATCGTTGGAAAAGCACAGTGTTTTCCGGACATACCTGGATTTGGACGGTCATGCCAAGATGACGTAGGCCTCAACTGGCTCCCAAATTGACTCCAAGCCCCCTAGAAGTGCATCGAGCGACTAAATAGAAAGAGGCACTATATTGACTATATAGAGACTATATATACCACAGTGGCATGATGAAGGCTGGTGAAGGAAAGACTTTGCATTGGCGATCACCGGCGGCATGCTGTGTAACATATACATATGTCCAATAATACAATATATAGTATATATACACAATGTAGTGAGTCTAAAGGCAGTGAACTCAATGTGTTGCAAGCAGGTGCTTTGACACTATGCGCATGAGTCCATACTGAGACTCCAGTGTGACCCATGGACAATCAGCCGATTGGCTTAGAAGGAACAGCATCATGCGTGGAAGCAGGAGATGGACAGCCATTGCACACCTCACGTCATGGCTATTGTTCTTTGGCCGGCCATTGTCGTTCAGGGTTGCCTTGCCGGGTCCATGGCATGCTGGAAGCATGGGCGGATCTTCGTGCCAAGGTGCGGTCGAGCCAGGTTTGTACGCCAGGCCGTCGGACTGGGTGCAGAGGAACCATTCCAAGCATCCAGGCCCTTCCAGGCCCTTCCAGGCCCTTCCAGGCCCTCCTGCCGTCTCCACAACAGGCGCACGCTTCGGACGATCTCAGCAAAGCGGGGACGCACTCGACCAAGCCGTGGTTATAAGGGTCTCTAATGCCGAATCGGGACACTCTACTGTGGCGATGATCCCAATCGATAGGGAAGAGTGAGCCTTCTCCGGGGTAGCGAAAGCTGCTGCAAACAAACGTTGGACCCTGAAAGTCTGCAAAGCCATGTAGAACGAGTTGACCTATATACATCCACTTAGACTTGACCTTTATTGCATCAGGAAACAAGTATGTCCGTCATTGTCCGTCCAATTCGGAAAAATGACTAAGAATGCGATCACCACCTTGTTCGCACTGATCCCTTGAACGGTGGGACCAACGGTCGGTCTCTTCCTTCCCGCCAGGTCACGTTGCCCGTCCTTGGCTTTTGCCTCGTTCTCTTGATGGCGACTCGTTTTCCGAACACGTCGTGGGCATTCGGCCGATCGGTTGGGTGGCGCTTCTCGGTTTTTGATTGCATGGGATGCCTGGATTGCATGGGATGTGCTTCAAAGAGTGGGAGAGTTGGCAGATCCACATACGGACCGGGACTGAGTCCCAGTTAAGAGACCTTGTAAAAACACATGTCTAAGGAGACAAGGACTATTGAGGACTTGGCCTCGCCACTGACACGGCATGTTCATTCACTGTATTCTCTACAACTCATGTTCAATCAGATCTTGACTATTCTTGACTACTGTAATCTCAACAGTCACTTTTCCCTACTGTTTCCTGCCACTCCCTCACCAGCTGGAGCTGGAGCTCGAGAGCGCCCTCGAGTCCAGGGCTTCGTGGCTTTGGTGGCCATTTTCTCCAAAGTCTTTGGAATTGCTGCAGGTGCCAAGGAACAGGAACAGGTTGAGCGAAGCAAAAAAGGATCCCTGGGTAAGACTGAACGACCCACACTGGGTCAGACGGTGTAGAAGCCCTTCGCAGCGGCAACTGCATCAAGAGGGTTCACCTTGGAGAACATGTTGTTGGGGACAGTTCCATCCACCACTGCAGCCATTGAGTTGTACACATCCATCACTGTCGCTTTTGGCACCGATGCAACAATGCGTCCAATAGCTGCGTTCACGCCCTCCTAGTCAGCAGCAGAGGTCACTCCCTTGGCATCGATGCTGCCAATGGCCTTAGAGTGGCACTAACATATATATATATATAATAAGGCTTTGCTGCTTGCAGTGCTGGGATGAGGACCTTCTGCCGCTTTTGGGGGGTGAAACAAACAATTTTTGAGCTTCGTACTGATTTACAAACACCAAACAGGTGACAAAGTCTACCTATTCGCTGGTGGTTTAGTTTTCAGAGGTCACAGACCTATTTCTTTGCATTCTTCGGCCATGTGCATCATGGTGCATCCCTCGCTGGTGCAGTTCTTTGAGCAACTGAATGCTGTAACAATCAGGATCAAGTGTTGCAGGGCAGGCCAGAAAAACAAAAGCAAGGACATCTTCAGGACTATGCTTTGAATCTTTTTCATAGCACTGATATGCAAAAAGCCAAAGCAGTTGCAGCAATGGGCAACGAGAGAGCCCTGAAACCCAGGTATATACAAGCAGCCCAGACGGCTTTGATGCAGCCATGAAGGACACCAGGTATGCCCGGATGCCCTCGTTTTTCTGGAGTTTTGTGTTGAGACATGACAATTTCCTTCATCCCAAGTTCCCAGCAGTCATGAATAGAAGAACACGAGGAATTGTCCTTGGATGTGTTGGGGCCAGGGCCAAGAAGATTGTATACCTCTATTCGAACTCACTGGTGAGACGCAGAAACCACGGAATCGTCGATTGAAATCACTGGAACTTGAGCACATTGCCTTGTAGATGCATTCATTCGTACATTAAAGACAAGCAGGATAAGTATGTATATATGCAAAGACAGGCGTATGTAATATGGATGTCATTTGCTGTCATCGTCTCACCATTTTCTACAAGCAAACATGCCACCGCTTGTCGCCTTGAAACCCTGAAGCCCGGTGCAACCGGCCGGGTCGTTTCATCTCGACCTGACCCAGAGATACCCAGAGAAGGTCCCTCCCTCCAGGTGCAGGCATCATGGGTGCTACAGCTGCCTTGGCTTTCATCAGCGTTGCTCGTCACACTGAGCTGGTTGGTCGTTCCACTGCGAGATAAGACCAGAGGTGGCTTCCGGGCTGGCAGAAGAACCCCCCGCAAGTGAGATGGATCATCACGGCAATGAAGGATGGATTCTACCATTGTTGGGGTTGTTGAATGACCTGCCACATGAGGGGCCTCTCAGATTTAGCAGCTGTTCCCAGGAGTGATGCTCCTGGATGGCAGAAGACTTGTTTGGATTGTTTGAGGTTAAACCGATTCAACCGATGATTTGCTGCCATTGACTGCCAGGAGTGTTCAAGGGCAGCTAAGATCTTCAAGACAAACCGGGTTGTTGTTGACACGGCACACTGGGCTATAAGTACAAGTTTCGACCCCAAACTGTGAAGGTGTGTGAGAGAGAGAGAGACAGGGGTGAGGAATCTATAGGAATCTTCCGTTCTTTTGCCCGGCTGAATGTGCAAAGATCGACCAGACAATTGAAGCATCATTTGGCCGCCAGAAAAAAGATTCGTTCAGTTTGTTCAAAACATCAGTCTTTTTTTTTGGGTGGGGGGGTGCTGTGTGAGTGAATATGCATGATTTCTAGAGATTCTCACTGCAGATCCGCAGGGCATGCAGTGTTATGTTGAATGCCAAAAATATAAAGATTCTAAGTCGATTGTGGCTACCCCAACTCTTTATTTTTTTGCGAAAGCATTTATGTGGTACATGACGTGTATCGAAACCTTTGTTGTCGGCTGGGAGTTCAGGTGAAGCATTTTTCCGAAGGCAAACTTTGAGTCTATATGCAATTTTCTGAAACTGAATTCCCAGCTCAATTCATCTTCAACTTCTAAAGCAATTTCTCAACTGAATTGCCGAAGAAAAGGATCCTCGAAACCACTTCAACTTCAGCCCCTGGTGTTGCGCGAAGCTGAAGCCACCCCTGTCACAAATTCTGACCTCGCGAACCCCGCAGCATAGGCAAGTCAGCAGTGTATAGGCACACCCTTTGACCTTTACAGTGGTGTAGGGTGTGCCTATAACACTGCTGACGGGGGGTGCCTATGCAGTGTACAATTGTGTAGCCTTTGACCCTTTTTGGGGGCTGGTTTCCCCACGAAGAACAGGGAAATGAGGGGGTCCAAAAACACGCTTGGCTGAGGATCTATGAGGGCCTCATGTTGCCATGCATAGACCTTAACTTCCTTTTCTAGACTCACGTTACATAATTATCCAGCCATTTCCAGCTCATTATCCAGCTCTTTCAAGCTAACATCAGCTAATACAAGATCAGCTAACATCAAGCTAACATCAAGCTATATCATAATTAAAAAAAACAAAACGTGTCCGCACGAACACTCCACTCATCGCCACGTCACGTCGGGTGTTCAGAAAGACCCAGCTCCGAGGCTCGGTCCGAGTCGGAGCTGGAAGAGGAGCTCGAAGCCGACACGCAGGACGCGCCCCCACGCGGCGGTTCGGGGTCTGCCGCGTCAAACAGCCGCGGCGGTTCGAAGGTCGAAGGACTGAGTCGGACCTGCACTGGACTGGAGGATCTTGGAGGTATTTGTTGGGATGACGCACATGAATTTGGGAGTCTGACGCTCGCTACTTTCACTTTCGATGCCGTATGGGAGCTAAAGTTCTACCTAACACTCTGGTTCAGGCTCAGCATGACTCAACTCTGAACAAGGAGGGAGTGCTACAGACCATTACAGACCTATGTCATCCTGCAGTTTCGCTATACTCGCAGGCTGGAACACCTATAAACCGTTCACGATCCCTGACACATCCTGAGTACCTATAAAGCCCCCATCGGGTGAAGGTGAAACGCATGTGTCACGTGTCTTCGTCTTGCAATCCAATTCCATTTTGGCTCCGCCACGAGCCGGCCAGCAACTGTTGCCTGAAAACTTCCAGGCCAGTTCGCACGAAACGAGCCGGCCGCGGCGAAAAGGATTGATTTCGCATATATACCTACAAGTCCAGTCGGGCCAAACCTGGTCCTTGACCTCATTGTAGTGGTTTTGCATGACCGGATCGAGTCAAATGAGGTCCTTAGGGTATGCAAAGGCTTTCTGAATCCCAAACACCTTCCTCCGCTCTGAGCCTCACTGGGCCCTTCAAGCCCATCGTGGTTCAGTCCCGAGAAGTTCAAAGACTGGAGGGATCCAAATCTTGAATTTGACCCAAAAACCTGAGAAATGAGGTCAAATACTAGTTGCTTACTCCGACTCCTATGATCTCCTATGCTACATTATGCTACTCTCTATAGTGTGCCATGTGTGCCTGGATGGTTTCTCTAATGTTTGTGTTTCTTTTTTTTGTGTGGATTGTTGATTTGGTCCATTTCAGGCGAACAGCAATTTCTTAGCCGTCAGGTGAACTCCACTCATGGCTCCATTTTGGCTCCTCGCGAGTCTGCTTGGAAGCCAGGCAGTGCCTTGGCAGATGGATAGACGGAGCGCCGGGCTGCTGCGACGTGAATTGTACAGTGCCCGCCCAAGCTCCACCTTCGTGTGCTGCAAACAGAGAAGGAATAGATCCCTCCAAAGCCGCATTGCTTTGGCCTCGGACCCGAAAGCCTGACGAAACCTTAATGATCAACATGTGGGCGCACCTCAATGTGACACGTTGACATGACTGTCGTGTGAGAAAAACCAATGAACACCATGAGGTTATTACGAACATGAACCCTATGGAAGGTCTCTTGAATCGAACGCTCACGATGAACAAGCATCGGATTGAATAAGCATCGGATTCCGATGGAGCAATCGACATGTCATGCTTTTCCATGTTCTTTCCATGAACTGCTCAGGCCCGCATCGAGCATGTGGCAAACTTGACTTCTGCCTGCCCAGCCGGGGCAACTTCGAGCTCCTCGAACCTTGGGAAGACCTGAATGTTGGCTACCCTTCTCCACGTGAGTAGCCTTGATGTTGGTGAAGCCAGAAGTATGATTGCTTGCTTGGGTTGGATTATTTTTGCCAAAATGTGGCATCCCAGCTTGATCTAAGGAGCTGGCGCACCTATGGTCGCGGCCTCACTGGCTTCTCAGATTCGCATTTGGAGTGCTGAAGCTTTCCAAAAGCTCACGGTTTTGTGGAGACTGTGAACGGTGCGGAAGCGCGGATGAAGAAGGGCAGATCACAAGATGTTTGTTTTGGCTGTGGGCATCATGTGCATCAGCCCAATACCACAGGTTCTTCAGTGGTTCAAACGAGTTTTCTCATGTTCCTCGGGCCTTTGAGGCTTGTTTGTTGAGGGTGATCCTCTATAGACTCTTAATGTAGACTATAAACGGCCCCAGAGGTGCAGAGGATTTGAGGGGATTTACGAATCGAGAGTCTACATGACCAAGGATTACCTGCAAGCTGTGCGACACCCAACAGGGCCAGGTGTTGATTTCGCTTGTGATCGGCCGTCGTTCTTCTTCCTTTAAGGCTACTATTGGTACTACCAGCGTAGTGAGCCTTGCTTGCATGACATGACCAGCGGCAGCTGTGGCCTTCATGGGCTGAGCACAGTTTTGGGCGTGGTTGGTTGGTTGGTTGGTTGGTTGGTTGGTATGACTACGACATGAACTGCAACCGCTGCTGTTGCAGAGGTGTGAAAAGCATAATTGTAGCCGGAGCAGCTGACCATGTTCTTTTCTGTTTGAAGCTGCCAGGATTTCGACATGGTTTTAGTTGATGAGTCCTATGGATAGAGAAGTGTTTTTTTTGGGGTTTTCGTTCCGCTGCCGGATCATGTACGTCATGTATTTCCTGTCAACGTTGAATCGATTACAGTATAATCCCTCAGCTCACTCTTTTGCTGGACGGCACCGCCAAATTTCCAATCCACCGAGGAGCAATGCACGGCAAAGGCCCCAGGCTCTTTGAAAGCCTGTGGATCTCGCGGCAGCACCGCGGTGGTTGAAGCGTTGGTCAGTTTGGTGTTGAAGAGGTGACCATAGGTTACCCAACCCAAGGCCAAGTGGACAAACCATACATAAAATGCAGCAAATTCGTGCTGTGTCCATTGGTTCTCTCATAAAATTGTTATTGGTTGAATGGTTGAACACCAGAGAGGACGATTGAAAGATTTTGAAAGCCAGGGTTTTAGACAGTAGAGACACGAGATTTGGCATGTGACTATATAGTGCTTTTTTTTTGTCCTGTTATATTTTTTGATAGGGAGCACATTGGAGTGTCCAAGGGAATTCTGCAGAGGACCAACACACGCGCAATCCAAGGTCGCTACGATGGTAGATACACTTATGGTGATGAAGGCACCGATGTCGCTGGCTAGCATTGCATGGGAGATCTGGTTGGATGTTGCAGTGCCCCCAATGTATTGGACACCGTGTCGCTCTCCACTTGGGAGTACTATACAGAGAGCAAATCCAGATGATTGAACACAACACCTACTTCATTGAATTGTGGCCATGTTCATAGAAAAAGGACCACCCGCCGGGCACAAGGTCATTGCTGGCTTTTGAAAGGCAGTTTTGAGCTCCTTGGTGTGAAGATGTTGAGATCATTTGAGATCCCATGTGGGACCCTCATCCATGTAGGAAGAAAAGCCCACCTTTCCAGTTCTTTCCTTTTAGTTGCTGCAGGAGGCTTGTTAAAAGATATTATATATATAGTATTATGTGTTTTTTCTCTAACTCGATCGGTTGGTCCCATCTCCTCCCGCCATGGCTTTCTTTTTTTCACCATGTTTGGCCCATGGATGCCCATTGGCCAGGCCCCTGCCGGAGCAAGATTGGCTGCAAGTGCCGCGAGACACGCCAGTCGGGCAACGCCAACAGCGGCTTCACCATGGTGCCTCGGACTCCTCCGAGCCCGAAGGGTCCAAGCCCAAAGGGTCCAGGGTTAGACACGGTACATGGGGCTGGACCCGTTGGTGAGGACCGGCTGTAGCCCTCCAACACAAAGCCTCGCTCGTACCTCAGGTGGCCCAGTGTGCGCAGCGGAGCTTCAAGGTCTGGCGCAAGTGTTGCGATGATGCGGCCTCAGCCTGCTGTGAGGGCATCGACTGTGTGGCTTGGATAGGAAAGCAGGATGGGGTGGCGGAGGGATGAGGCGAAGTTTCTTGAAAGAAACAGGTTTCCGTCACATGGAACGGTTGCCCTCGCATGGAGTGATGACCACCCACCCAGTACTTGTAGCCACTTTGCACATCCAGCATTACAAAGTGTAGTTTTTCCCGACGTGGTCCCCTCGTATTACAATAATTGCTATGATATGATTATGTATATGTTTCCCAATTGTCACTGGTGAACTGATCCATTGGTGCAGTTAGACTCGTGGTATACTCTTCAATTGGCCACAGAGATAGGGGGGAGAGGATGCTGTAAGAATCACGGGCTCGCCAGGCGCAAGAGCGCCGTCTCACCACCGATCCGTCGAACACTTGGCCGCTTGACGCCTCTCGACGAGCGAAACAGGTCATGGCACGACCTGCTTCACCGAAGCTCACCGTGGCAGGTCGTCCCCCGCCACGCGGAGCCCGCGTCCTCCGCATCCCAGGAAGTGAACTGCAAATCCACCTCCTGGTGGTGATTCCGAGCTACCGGCCTAGGCCGCAAAGAACGTCTGGCGATGGAAAAAACGAGTCCAGCCAGTGGTGCTGTATGGGGCTGTGCGGATGGCAGGCCCCTTCAGGTCCAAGAACAAGGAGAACGCCTACAATCACGTGCATTTCCATCACCCATTTCCTGCTTTGTCTCCTCTAGGATGGGATCTTTTCATGTTTTACATGCAGGTGCTTTTGGGGCCGCATCGTCCTAAATTCAGAGGGTGCACAGAGAAAGACAGAGAGAGAGAGAGAGAGAAAGAGAGAGAAAAAGAAAGATAAAGACAGATGGAAGTGGAGAACGATGTTGATTTTGGAACTTCAAGAAGCGCACCAGACCTTCAGCGATCAGTATCTCCACTTGGAAAATCCAGTCCACCAAGTGAGGGCCTACCAATCACCTCTTGCGGTGTGCGGTCCACAAAGGCAGCGGCGTCAGTCACCGCTGTTTCGCCGGAAGACGGCACGTCACGTCACAGGAGATGCTGCGGGAGTATGCCTTGCAAGAGAATCAGAGGACGGGAGTATGCCACAGACGGTGGTAGGGGGGGAGTCTCAGATGCGATACAAAAAGGAGCCTGCCACCACCAAGAACACCTAGACACCACCACCCACCACCCCAGTGGACCAGCTCCAAAAGTCTAATACATGAAGTTTTGGCAGTTCCAGACCCTCACACTCCATCTATGGCATATTTATATATATACATTGGGGTGGTTGAAAAGGGATCAATGTATAGGCATATATTCCATACATGGAGTGTTTGGGCGATGCGTGGACCCCCAAAACACTCTCCCACAGAACGTTCTTCAACTCCTTCAGCCGGGTCTTTGCTGGCCTGATAGGGGCAAATCTTGGATGCGGTTGATGCAATTTACTTATATTATGCCATCTTGTTGAAGGTCCAAAGACCATGTAGGCATGTGTCCATAGGCATGTGTCCATAGTTGAAGGCATGTGTCCATCGTTTGGTTCTCTTGTTGAAGGTCCAAATATTTGCCTTTGGACAAGATGTTCGCATCATCGCTCTTGGACAAGATGTTGGTGGGGGGTGGGCCGTATTGAACCATGGAGGCCTACAGTGCAAAACATGCAAAACGTCCTTGAGGCGACAACCACTCAACCAACAACAATTTTCTGCATTTTCCCACCAGAACGTGGGATATGTTTTGAAAGCTGAAATCGCAAGTCCACCTGCAAGAAAGCAATGATTACACATGATTTACTGTATAATTGCAGCGCACCACCCCGTTTCCAGGATCACCAACCTTATTGATAGAATTAGGAGAACTTGCCTTAAAAGTCCGGAAGACAAGTGCATAGGAAAGTCAGTGCCCGGCTTTTCCATGTGTATTGCCTCCTGAGGCTCCTATATGATTGTCCTTTGTGTTCCTCTCAAGCTTTTGTAAGTTTATACCTTTTGAGTCATGTTTCTTGGGCATGGTGTCACACCTATATGCAGCACACAATCAGACTTTAGATGGACTCAGCACCAGGCTCGAGTGGCTGAAGTGGCGCTTTGGCCGAGAAGGCGTCGCGTCGGTCAGCACAAAGCAGCACTCATCACCCACCGGTCTGGTACTTTTTGCAGTTGGCGAGTTGGCGAATCATCCAACAAAGACATCATTTGTTCAACGCGTGTGGTGAAAAAGAGACCCCCCCCCACATGTAGAAGACACAGTTTCAGTGAATGAGTTCCCTTTGTGCGAAGGAGTGAAAGGTTCAGCATGTATTCCACAGCTTTAACTATTTGTTCAATTGGAGTTTGCTAGACTTCCACCATGTCACTTTGCACTACCGTGGCAATGCGGAACCCTCCCATTGCATCGCAGACCAAAACAAAAACACACATACTGGGATGTATTTCTCATAGTTGAATAGTTGATTTTAAAAAACTATCAGTTTTTAACTTTTAAAGGTTATTCCCTGACCACCCCC